ACACTACATACATATATATATATATATATATATATATATATATATATATATATATATATATATATATATATATAAAATACTACAAGGAATCATTCATATAAAAGTAAACTAATAAAGTTAATGATATAAATTGGCGAAATCCCTTCGCTAACAGAATTTTAAAGGTGCATTAACCTACCAATTACTCGATGAATGTTATGATCTTTGTTTGTTTTTTAAATTATAAGCTGTATAAGATCTATCTTAAATACGCAAGTACTTTTGTCCGTACATTCAGTCATATTCAGGTATGGAAATTATTTTGTTTTTGCTAAAATTCAGGTAGCCTCCGAGACGAAAAAAATATGTTTCTTTAAAAATGTATTATTCATAACGGATACAAACTTTTTGCATGTGCAGTCGCAACGCTATGGTTGAATTTTCTTGCAACATATATATATATATATATATATATACATATATATATATATATATAACTGTCTTCCTACTCCTACTTGTTTTTATTAACTTCATTTTTTTTCAGATAAACAATGTTACGCATCAAGATGACTCATCAAATTAAAAGGCACACTTCGGCCGTTTTCATAAAAGGACAATATGGTGATACAAAGATTGATTGGTTCCGAACAACTGCCTGATCTTTCGTTATTAAAGTTCAAAAGTTGATGCTCAATGAACCTAAGTATCAGCTAAACGCAAAACGCATGCTAAGCGTGCCAGTACCATCTGAAAACCTAACTTCATGCGAAAGATCCCAAAAATAATTGACAAGCGCCTAAGAAAGTCACTCAGAACCATTGCGATAAACCTCAATGTATCAGTGTTCACTGTCAGAAACGTTGTGAATGAGGACATCCGGTACAAGCCGAATGCAATGCGCAGAACTCATTTCATGTCGGAAAAGACAAGATAGAATCGTCGGATCCATACGAAACGCTTGTTAAACAAGGTAAAATACCAAGATAATCAAATTAAATTATTAAATAAAAAGAATGAAATAATGGGTCGATGCCGACATATTAACAAATATTTACTTTGTCACTTTAATAATAACATAACATAATAAATCAATTAAAATATTAATTAAAAATATTAACTTAAATATTATAATTTAATTAATAATAAAAAAATTTTAACAAATATTGCAATTTAATTAATCATATAACATAACAATTTCTATATAAACCATAAAAATAGTTTAATTTCGAAGAAAAAAATTGCAACTAGAAGAAAAATCTACAGCTGAAAAAATGAAAACGTAAATAAAAGTATAATGTTATGAACGTGCGCGTGTAAAATAACGTTAATTTCATGAATACACACGTGTACAAAACGGAGTAAAGAAGCGGATTGAAAAAGACACGGAACAAAGTGAAAAACTTGAAATAAATTACAAATATCATTTAAAACCACACACCCCTGAAGATTGTGAATTTTAACAAGAAACATCGATGTCGGGATAAAATTGATATCTAAAAATTAAGTGATCTTTTCATATAATAATAATAATATCATATATATATATATATATATATATATATATATATATATATATATATATATATATTAGGTTTATGATTTTTGTAAAATACTTAATTTCCTGTATTCGCTGAACTTCTATTTAAAAAAAATGAAGGATTTAATTCACTTTTTAAAATGTCACACCCAACAGGAAATTTCTAAAATCGTATATATGTATAGAGTAGTATGACTTTCTGGAACCTTCTAGGACTTCCTGGAGCATTCCAGAACTTTATGGAATCTTCTTGAATGTTTTTTTATTTGTAAGTCATTATGTTATGCTTTATCTATAACCTGTTGAATGCGTTAAAAAATACATAACTACTACCCAATTATATCATTAGAAAATTTAAAGTAATGAACTTCTATTTAATCTGAGAGACTTGATCAATTTAAACGTTATTTTTAAAGGATTTATTACACAAAATGTTTATTTATTTTCGTCTACCGGCCAGAATATTTTACCTTCTTTCCAGAGCGAAACAGGTCTTTTTGCGAATTTATCAATTCTTTACCTCTTGCCATGATGATAACCTTCTTGCACGAATATCAATTACAAAATGTTCATTTTTTCTGTTTTCTATGCATCTTTAGTTATTATACATTTGTGTACAGTTAATTATAGAAAAAGTATGTTTATTCACTTGTTGGAAATACAATAAATTAAAAATTTGTATGTGCATGAATATTTGTTTCCCCCATATATATATATATATATATATATATATATATATATATATATATATATATATATATATATATAAACACACAAACAAGCATATGTATGTTGCCAAATAACATTTTAATATTTGCGTTGATAAAGTTCCTCAAGAAACAAGACATGCAACAGAAGACACCATTAGCAGTACTGTCCTCCAATTATGCGGGAGGTATTTCTGCCACACCCTGTACGTTGACATACAAAGATTTCCTCATTACAGATATATTTTATTTATATCTGAAATGTTACACACACATTCACACACTATTCAAAGTTCACATTAGATAAGATTTCAATATTGTTTATAATGTCAGTGAAATGTTTCTTTCATACTGATGATGGACTAGACTGCTTAATTCTTTACCTCTTGCTATGATGATAACCTTTGTGCACGAATATCAATTATAGAATATTCTGTTTGTATTTTTTAGGCTAAAAACATCTAACATTATTGGAACATTCTAGAATATTCCATTTAAATAATCTAGAGTATTAAAGTAATTTAAAAGTTTTAAAATCTGAAATTTGCATTATACGAATACTTTTTTCACCCATTAAAATGGATAATTTTTTTTTTAAGCGTTTCACCCCAAGCAAGGCGGGAAGCCACTAGGACGCAAACGGCTACAGAAAATTTGGAGCAAGATCAGATAGGAGTGATAGAAGAAAGGATGAGGAGAAGGATAGTGGATAGATCAAGGCAACTGGAGATGTCGATTGACATTATATTTGAATAGCTGGAGATTATAGCTCTCAGGGAAACTGGAATAGGGAAGGGAGTTCCACAGGCGAGAGGTGCGAGACATGAAGCTATTGGAGTAGAAGAGACGGCTACATTTAGGAGTTTCGACAGTGAAAGGGTGAGAGCGGGATGCCAGCCTGGTAGGGCGCTTGAACTCATGAAGTCTGGGAAGCAGCGAATGCAGCTCCTCGGAGCAATTGCCATGAAAGTATTTGTAAAAAAGACAGAGAGAGGCGACGGCGTGTCTGTGAGAAAGTGACTGTAGACGAGATGCCAGAGCAGGGCCAATTATATTGCATATCCGCCTCTGGAGCTTATCAAGAACCCCGAGGCAAACAGAAGGGGCTCCAGACCATATATGGCAGCAATACTCTATGGAATTTATTTCTATTAAATCAATTTTTTCTGTTTTTTATGTACACTTAGTTATTATAGATCTGTGTACAGTTAATTATATGAAAAGTATGTTCATTCATTAGTTGGAAATTAAAAATTTCATGTAGAAATATTTGTCCCCCCCCCGCCACTGTGTATGTTTTCTACTACTGTAAATATTAATTTTTGGATACCGATAGAGATAATTTAAAAACAGTGTTAATTACGTCTACCGGCCTACCTAAGTGAGAGACTTCATAAATAATTGGGAAGACTAGTAGACTGTCTAAAAATAACGAGCGTCTACTCAAACGTGGTTATCCACAAAAAACGTATCCAGAAATTAACTTTTACAGTAGTAGGAAATAATATCGGATAAATAATTCAGTGATTCCTTATAAATCTCTCTCTCTCTCTATATATATATATATATATATATATAGAGAGAGAGAGAGAGATAGTACAGGTGAAATGGTTTTGAAATAGACTATACTATGTTGAGCTAATTTTAGTTTTTGGCTGTAAATTATATATATATATATATATATATATATATATATATATATATATATATATATATATATATATATATAATAAATCTGCAAGTTCACACACACATATATATATAGTACAGGTGAAACGGTTTGAAATAGACTATACTATGTTGAGATAATTTTAGTTTTTTGCTGTATATATATATATATATATATATATATATATATATATATATATATATATATAAATCTGCATGTTCATATATATATGAACAGATAGATAGATAGATAGATAGATAGATAGATAGATAGATAGATCCCCCTAGGGACTGAACGGATCGATTGCTGGAGGGTCCGTCCCCGAAACTCTAGATTCTACATGCTGAAGGTAACATCAATCAGCTAAGTGATAAATTTTATATTTGTATTAATCATATATATATATATATATATATATATATATATATATATATATATATAAAGTAAATTGCAGTCATAGATAGATAGATAGATAGATAGTTAGATAGATAGATAGCAGACAACACAGTATTGTAATTCTCCATTTATATTTGTAGTGTATATGAAGATAAAAATCTGTATAAATTAAGGTTTTGTCAAGAAAATCATGGCTCTTACTAGAACTTATTCTATTAATTAATCAGTTTCAGAAAAAATAATATCCCCCTTTTTTTGAAAATTATTAATAAGATTCAATATTCCTACTAAGTGGACACGGACTTAAAATAGAATCTAATTAATTTAGAATTTGCAGAGAAAGATTAAAAATATTACACAGCATTCTAGACATATATCAAATTATTAATCTCCATAGTTGAAGCTTTTATGCATGTAAAAGTTATTCAGTTAGAAATTTTATACTCATCAAGAAACGCAGTTTAAAATGGAGCCGATAAATTTACTGCTAAATATTCGCTCACCAGGTATTAATAAAAGGACGTCATATAAAGTAGTCAGTCGTTGGATGAATATAACAACAAAATCCCGAGTCGATGTAAAAGAAGAGTTATAAAGAAATGTGTCTACTATATATTAAATTTATCACCTAGCTGATTGATGTTACCTTCAACATCCAGAATCTAGAGTTTCGGGGACGAACCCTCCAGCAATCGATCCACCCACTCCTTAGGGGATATAAGATCTATCTATCTATCTATCTATCTATCTATCTATCTATCTATCTATCTCTGTTCTTCTTCATATCTATCTATCTATCTATCTATCTATCTATCTATCTATCTATCTATCTATCTATCTCTGTTCTTCTTCATATCTATCTATCTATCTATCTATCTATCTATCTATCTCTGTTCTTCTTCATATCTATCTATCTATCTATCTATCTATCTATCTATCTATCTATCTATCTATCTATCTATCTATCTCTGTTCTTCTTCATATCTATCTATCTATCTATCTATCTATCTTGTTAGATAAAAATTCTCTTAATAAGAAACTGGGCTGCAAAAAAAAAAGGAAACCATATTTGTAAAACATCTCAACAATTTCTGGAATATAAAAAAATGGAATTTGCATACAGTGTAACCCGGATATAAGAGAGTTGTCGGGAGCGGAGAAGAAGTCTCTTATATCCGGGCTTCTCTTATATCCGGGTTTGGTCTATATGTATACATTAACACAGGCTCTAATTTGGGACCAGAGACCATCTCTCTTATATCCGGGTTTCTCTCATATCCGGGTCTCTTATATCCGGGTTACACTGTATATATTTTCCCTTTTTTTTTTGGCGGACGAGATGAATATTTTTACAAGGTCAAATCTTCACTTCCTTAACCTTCCACTTCCTATTACCCCAGATAAAAAATAAACACATGTAATATAGGAATCAAGGCGGAGTACTGGATAGCTGCTCGGATTGAGAAATCGGAGAGCCGAGTTCGAATTCCAGTAAGATCCATTACATTCACTTACGTGCTTGGGAAAGGTTTGTATCCTCTTCTTCCTCCAAACTGGATGGCAACTGGTCTACCGCAAAAAGAAATGGGAACCTACTGCCTCGTCAGTCATGTATCGCCTATAAATGACTGAATATAGGGTACTAGATTCCCTACATTTAACAGTTAATAATTTAATGATCTAAATTGTATAAAAAGCAACGTCGAGCCTGGTCAATACCAAGACGGGTGATTGTCTGCGAATACAGGTGCTGTAAGATTGAACGTGCAGATGGAATTGTTAATAGGAGAGCAGAGTTCCAATTCCGGTCGAGTTTGTTATATCCACTTACACTTGCGAAAGGTATAAATCCACCTCTTCTCGCAAATCTATAGATTAATTTGTAAAAATTAACAAAATTCCTGTGGTCGTCCTTAAAAATATCAACCCAGAAGTATCCCCGAATCTAGCAAAGTTATTTAACCGCTTCTTTAAGGAGAAATATTTCCCAAACCTGTGGAAGGTGGTAAGCGTATGTTCGGTTTTCAAGAACGCGGGCAACCGATCCCCCACTTCCAGTATAGACCCAATAGTATCAGCAGTAAACTTTTTTGAGGCAAGAAGATCGTCGAACATCTGAATAGGAACAACCTCTTGTGTGACAAGCAGTATAGGTTTCGATCAGCCCGATTCACTGCTGACGTTCTAATTACCATTACATACGGAATTAATGAGACCCTTGACCCCAAGGATCATATGCTTAGATACCTCGAAGGCCTTCGACAATGTATCGTATAAAGACTTGATACACAATCTCTCCAGCTATGGAATCAATGGAAGGGTTTTCTCTATTATAAAATTCTTCTTAGGTAGATCTCTGTAGATAGTTATTAACGGCCAATCCTCCGAGGACCTGGCGGTCAATGCGGGTGTCTCCCAGCGGTCACTTCTCGGATTAAGCCTCTTTCTGATTTACATAAATTACCTAAGAATATAACCCGATCATTTGTAAATGTCTATGCCGGGGATACGACGATATACGGGCGCATCTCTAAAGGTGTTGACGAACAGTTTGGCAGCTGAGCTCACTTCCGAGCTAACACTAACTTCCTAATGGGGAAAAAGTGACTAGTTACATTCAATGCTTCTAAAAAATAAACTGGTTAAATTCCATCATCGCCGATCAGACCTCAAACTACAGCCAGTAACGATGAACGGACGTCCCCTCGGGGAGGCACCGTGCCTTGAGAGGATAATGGGCCTCAAATTCACACCCGGCCTCAATTGGAATTCCTATATATGATCCATCGCTAAAGATGCAGGTAAAAGGATCGGCTCCGTGTGTAATTCTAGTAATTATCTGACTGTACATGCTATCTACCTTTATAAGAGCCAGATCAGGCCCAAAATGAAGTACTGTTGCTATATTTGAACAAGAGCTGCCCAGAACACATTTTCCATTCTTGAAAGAGTCCTTGTTAGAGAAGAATTATTTCACACACTGCAACCTCTCTTTCAAAGGCGGGATGTGGTGAGTCTCTCACTCTTCTATCGCTATTTACCATGGTAAATGCTCGGACGAACTGCATCTCCTGGTGCCACCTTCACAGCTAGGATCTGCCATGCCACTTACATAGTAGCAAGCCAGCTTCATTCCCTCTGTATTCCATCGACAAGAAGTCCCTTCTTCCCGCAAACCACTTCCCTCTGGAACAGACTATAAAGTGGATGTTTTCATGTTATCTTTCCATCCTAATCATATAAACTACTCCTTAACGTAACTCTCTACGTCGAGTGGACCCCGGGCCTTGTACTGGGGGAACCTTACTTTAAAAAAAAAACATTATTATCTCAAAAAACCTTCTTCCAATCTAAATAATTAAAGATATTATATACATACCAGTATTTAGTAGATACCATTATTTAGTAGATACTAAACAGTATTAGTAGAAAACAAAAATATAGTATACAATATAAAAAAGACTGCAAACACTTAAACCTGTAATCATAATAGCAAAAATCAACATTAAATATCCTTCAATCTTGGAACTAGTGTATTAAACACATTCAACAGATAATAAACACACTATATGGGATGTGCAGGTGGTGTAATTGTAAGTGATATGGCTCATAGAATTGGCGAGCCGAGTTCAAATCCCCGCCTTGTCAGTTGACCTAGCAAATCTTGTAGTTTAGCTTTTTTTCAGTTCTAATTGAACCCTTTTATGTACATAAAGGTTTATGAACTGTGAGGATTACAAATGTTCTTGGATCGACAATCAAATAAGTCTACTCCCACCAATTATAGATCCAGCTGAGCGTATTTAGGTTCGCTCTCAGGGGTAGTCCCTGAATCAAAGACAATTGCTGTCTCAAATGATTCTTGTTGAGTAAACATTTCTCATAAACGTTTGATATAGGCCTCAACGATAACAGATTAAGGTTTATCTGTGTCAAAATAGCGCAATAGAACATCTTTTCAAAACCTTTGGGTGAATGCTGGACAATCCATTTAAAGACTTGAAGCAAAAGAAGTAGAAGGATGATGAGAATAACAAAGACCGAACATGTGAGCAACTACCAGAGAGAGTTGAAATTTCCAGGGGACATAATGAGGAAAGAGGTCTTAGAAAGTTTGATACTCACATGACTGACTGAAGGCAAAGAGGAATAGAGGAAAACGACGCATATTTTACCTAGCAAGTTTTAGAGAAAATAAAAACAAAAAGGATATACTTAACATCAGGAAGAGAGAGTTGAAATTTCTAGGTCACATCCCGAGAAAAGAGGGCTTGGAAAATTTGATACTCACAGGACAGATTGAAGGCAAAGAGGGATAGAGGAAAACAACGCATAACCTACCTAGCAAGTTTTAGAGAAAATGAAAACAAAAAGGACATTTATTCTTAACATCAGGAAGAGACCGTTGAAATTTCTTGTGCACATAATGAGGACAGAGGGCTTGGAAAATTTGATACTAACAGGACAGATTGAAGGCAGAGATGGATAGAGGAAAACACTAGATAATCTTCATGTTCAAATGAATGGTAGAACAGGTTTTAGGAGAGATAGTAAAACGACAAAATTTATTAAGATCTACAAAGGACAGAAAATTGTGGAGAGCCATGATCGCCTACGCCCTGGAGGAACACAAGCACATAGAAGAAGATCAGTTGCGCGATTGATTTGTTTTTTTAAGTAGTTTCAACCTTTTGCAGGTTATTTAAAGCCAGGAAATATCTTTACTTTGTCAGAATTCTTTACAGATAATTAACCCATAGTTGGGGGGTAGAAGAGGCGGATTCATACTTTTCCAAATGATATTTGCGCGTAAATGAATATAATGAATCCGAATGAAAGTGGAACTCAAATCTCCGATGTCCAATCCCGAGCCGACATTGCTTAACTTCGGTGATCCAGTGTTACAGCAGGACATCCCAAGGTGATTGAATATAACGAATCCGACTGGCACTGGAACTCAACTCCCCGATGTCCAATCCCGAGCCGTTATCATTTACACTGTTTGCACATACAAGCTTAGAGCACCTGGTATTCCCAAGCGGTCACCCATCTACGTACTGACCAGGCTTGGACATTGCTTAACTTCGGTGATCGTACTAGAACTGGTATTTCAACGGATGTATTGTTCGAAATATTTCTGGTGTTTGGATGTCCATTTTAAATAGCGGTTGCTTTTCGTGACTTTTTTTTACATAGTTTGGAATTATGTTTGAATTTGACTGCATCATACAGAGGATCGTATCAAGTTATCTTTACTCCATGTAACTGTATTGCAGTTTGGCTTGATCTCACCTACCCCATGCCTGAGAACGCAATCTCTTGTTTGCTTAAGTGGCATTTTGCCGCATGAAAGGTTAGTCCCATTTTATGATCTAGCTATCACAACTTCGATGACCTGAATAAGCTCATCGTCTGGCTTGGTCACCAGATAAGATCGTCAAGTATCTCATTGTTCAACACGCGTTGGGATGGGTTTTTACACATAACGAGCTGTTTGTATCTAATTAATTTATCGCTAACATAGAACAATGTAAGATAACGTCCCCTCTGGTATTAGCTGTGCGTGCCAGAACGTGAAATTAAAATCCATTTTGGGGAATCCTTTACTGCTGGCAAGTTTTGCTCTCATCCTCCATCTTGGAATAAATTGATTTGTGAACTGCATGAAAATATAAACGTTTCTTGCGCAGAATAGGATTCTTGTAAATCCATGACAGAATTCAAAAGCGTCTATGTGGCTTTGTGGATGATTAATTATTTTCAACCGTACAGCCTCGTTCCCACAGTCGGAACTTCGCAAGCCTATCGCTATTTCCATGGAAAATGTATAGACGAGTAACACTCTTTAGTTCCACCTGTTCAGACCTTCACAGCTAGCACCTGCCATGTGACGTATGTCTTCATTCCCGCCATATTTCTTTGGCATGAAAGTAGTTCCATCTCGACAAAAGCCAAAGAAGGATCTGCAATATAATCAGTCCTGACTGGACATCGCGACTTCAGTGGTTTTC